GTGCGATAACGGTAGCCAAGAAACTGTTTCGGATCGCTTGCTCGGACGACATACTTGCGTTGCAAACAATAACATCTTCCAATAAAGTACAACCGATGAGGTCATTGATCATTAAGCATTTTTCATTCGCTTGGGTATGCATGTGTATATATGTACATAAACGCGTCGAAAAAATGATTTATTCTAATTACAATTATTTAGGCAATACTTACGAAAGCAATGGTACGTGTTACGATATTTGTCGCATCATCCAGGCTCGGTCATTTCACTCCGGTGAGCGTATAAATGTCCAAACGATGCCACAGCATCGAATTTAATCATCGTGCAACACCCAAGGCCTACGATTCAAGCCTACGATTTGGTATATTTCACTGTTCATATGAAGAAGAATCAGCTTATAGTTGTTCATTGCTTTTATCCGGAATCTCGGAAGGTATAGCTTTGTGCCGTTCGTGTGAGATTTAGCCATACTCTTACAGTACGTTCTTAATAAAGTACGCATTTTCATTAGGCTGCGTTAGTCAGCGACAACAAATTTTCTCAATTGCGCGCCTTGCGGCGTTTTACTGTACGTATATTGTGCGTTTAGCGGCAAAAGCTACGAGTAACACAAATAAGATAGCGACATGGAAATCCAAATACCCTAAGTAAGCGAAATATGGACTCTATGTCTTTGCCCTGACTGAGTATACGATGGCGAAAGATCTCGAATGTGAGATTTTATACCTCGCAAAACTTTCGAGGCGAAGTACAATTTATAGGATTAAGATACTCGATGCTATGCAACTGGACACTTTATGCCTTTGTTATCTGTTCTCCACGGTGGCTATACCAGTCTGCATGTTATCATGGTCATTACATATGCATGCCAGATATCGTTCCCTTCTTTCCGTTGGTGATCTCATACTTTTAGAAGAATGCAGCGGCGGTTTCTTAGACATATTGAGTTCCGAATCTTCGTCTTCAAATATTCCTTGAAATCGTTATGAATCGAGACAATGTTCAAGAAAGCGAATTTAGCCCAATTAGAAAAATTATTAACAATGATAAGCTCGGTGACAAGATTTTTGTCCCGCAAAAATTGTGTTATAAGCTAAAATTGTAGCCTGCCCAATCCTCCCCAGTCTTAACCACGGTTAAATAAGTAGACATGAATCATCCCGTCAGCTTCACCCGAAAACTGCTAGCCCGGAACTTTATTGATAGGTACTACAAAATGGCAGAAGAAGTGGTAACTGTCAATTAGCCGTGCTTAATCTGAGGCTGTTGGCAAGTTATCCTTTTTTCTTTTACGCCAAATCGTTTCAAAAAAGTAGGACATATAAAAAAATACGTTCTTTCCCCCTTAGTGTTCAAGCTATTCAAGTCTATCCGTAGCTACCGGTATACCGTTCTACAAAAATTTACAGCCATAAGTACTGAGAACATCGGCACTTATTAGTGTATCACAGTAACTAGAGGTACTAACCGGTAGATTTTGATGCACTCATCTGAATCTAAACATTTTGTAAAAAACGCTGTTAATGAAACGGAGAAAAACAAAAAATTCTGCTTATTTAAATTCAGATCTTTCATTTGTTTAAAATATTGTTTATAGCTGCCCAGTTAATTAGGAGTAGGATTCGTCATTTAGAATCCTTTATTTGTTTTAATTTTTAATATATAACGGAGATTGTCTGTTGACGGCCCAAGTCTTCTGCTTTTTAGCTAAACTTTTTAAGCTAAATTATGAAGCATATTCGTTTTTACATTCGCTTAACTAAGTCGTATATTCTATAATATACCAACATGCTAACTAGTCTAAATGCAGGTGCACTCTAAATTACATTCCTTTAGATACTGCAACAATTTCTAACGTGATAAAGATATGTGGATCTTTACCGAGATCCACTGGGGAATCACTAGCGTACATTATAGAAGAACAAATTAATATTAATCTTGAAGCTAGAAATCCCGTTCCTGCACACGACCTTGCGCTTTTTCAGGCCAAAATCGCAACTACACTAACCATTCAACTGACCGGGAAACATCGTGCTTCGAAAACTTAATGGTAAATGATGGGATGAAACCCAGCTCCTTGAGTGCACCCTTAGACTCCATGTCATAAAAAACTGCTACGCTCGCAAATTGAGGCGAATGATGACTTGATGAAGGCTAGGAAGAAAATACCCAGGAATGTTTTCCAGCTCTTGATACGAGCTTGAATAAGTCGTATAATGCAAATTATCATATTGTTAGATTCGTAATTTACCGCTACGACTACATCGCGTATAACAAAGGTCTCCATGAACCGAGCTCCAAGTCCTACTATCGTAGATGTAGCGACAACGAGCCCTAGGTACTATCCTGAAGATAGCCCCCTTCACAGACCCAAACGGCCCTCGATGTCACCAGTCATTATTGTTGTAAACGTGTCTTCCTCGTTATGTGCTATTCGTGTTTCGAATGTTTATATTTGCACTGTATTATGCGAGAATATAACTGATGATTTTCCATAGTTTTCGGACAGCGTCTGCCTCCTTGCATGTTTTGGTACCGTATTGCCAACTAGTTTGACCCGTAAATTATAAAATTAAAAAGCAGTACATTTTTAATAACAACTACACTCGAGACATTAGAATGTTTAATTAATTAACGGTAGCTAAAAAAATCATTAGTTCAAATAAGGTCGCTATGTTTCAAGGTATTTGTCCCATGTATACCTTGATTTGAAAAAAACGTTCCTCTCAAGGAATTACTTAGGTTAGAAAAATATTGGTTTTGTTATTAACCAAACAGGTTTCATCTGCTCCGAAACAGGCTTTACATTAGAAAGGCAGGACATTTTTGCTTCCAACAGAGAATCCAGCCGTCGAAAAGCTTCATACGAACACGCTGGGAGATAGTCGTCAGCATTACTATTCTCGAATTAGATTCAGTGTGCTGTCATATAAAGAGGCGTCTTGTTCTTGGAACTAAACGTCTTGACTGACTGATGACAGTCATAGAATTTTCGGTAGGTTTTCACTCGAAAGGGAGATAGTTGAAATTACTTAGTACGCGTTCTGCAACGATCGTCTTATATACGTCTTATTTTGAATAAACTAAATAATACGATCAAGTTTCTGTGATATGTCTTAATTTTAAGCGATATCCATTAAGCTTAAATAAAAATGTTCGTCACAAAACAGTGATGTTTCTTTTCTTTCGAAGGCATCGAAAGTCGACCAACATGCGGCAATTTTTGTTTGCCTAGCTTGAACGACTTGTATGTCCTTGTTTTCGATAGTATGCTGGATCGATATTCATTTTCTCTAGCAAATCAGTACGCTAGATAAATTATTAGCTGTAAACTTTTTTCCGTATTAGTGCCACGGTTCTTTCGTATTTAAAAAGTAGCGCGTAATTTTATTTATCTGCAAAGCAGCGATGGTATTAGCGGAATTAACAGGGCTAATCAAAGTTCACACTTATCGCTCAGGTTCATATTTGCAGTATATCAAACAGTACATAGTATGTACTATTTGAAACAAGAAGCAACAGTGCTTAATGGAAAATTGTCTCTAAGCAAGAAAGAAAAAAAACACCGGCTGCTAGAGTAAAACAGTGTGTGGTGTGCCGAGTAAATTCGCTGGCTGTATTCTGTTTTTACATGCAAACAAATGACTAGCATAGCGAAAATGGCCCTGACCAATAAATACAAACGTTGTTATTTTTAGAGGCTTGATTCGTCTCGCTGGGCCCCCAGTGAGTGTTGCACCGCATTACATAGTGCAGTGAGTGCATTACTAGACCAATATTAGAGAGTAATCAACGGTAATAGCTTGCGTTTCTTTTACTTCATAGACGTTTGCACGTGTATGTCGGTTAAGATAATAGCAGTGCCTGAGTATTCGCAGGTTAGCCAGCCCGCTACCGCAGTTGTTATCTCGCCGCTTAGCACTGCTTGTGCGCTACAGGGATGCTAGGCCGTTCGCCGTTCATCCTTAAACCTCAGAACGCGATGATTGAATAATAGCATTTGCAGATAACTCTACGTGCGTAGCTGAGAAATGCCATGCAAGCAAATAAGCGTGCGAAGCATAGGAGGGAGAAGCCGCCGTGCAGCGGTAGCGTTCTCACTGGGCGACAGAAGCGAACAAAAACCAGCGCTAGCCGTTGCTAGCTAGCTTGAAAGTAGCCATACAGTGTACCAAAGATGCTGCTGCTGCTACCCGCTCTGATTCGAAAAGCATCAATAGGGAGGAGTGTGCGACAAGCGAGGCTGTGCGCTGCTGCTCATAGTGAATGGAAGGAATACGAGTTGTTGGTGGGAGTTGGGTGGCGACGCGAGGCGTCAAGCGCCTTGGGTCGCGCATGCGCTTTACGTGAGCAAACGAACTCGTCGACTATATAGACCGGGTAGCAAAGCAACGCGGTAACACTGTTCGTGCCGTTGACTCAGTGGGACTCAATGAGACTCAAAGAGTGACTAGCAAACACAAGGCTGCTCGGCCTCGCATGGGATAATAAAGAATAGAAGGCATCTGCCGCCAGTCGTATACTCCAGTTCTGAAGAGACTGGTTGACCAACGGCTCCGTGGAATCGGGACCGTTGCCGCCTGTTACGCTGTGCCGCCTCTGCCACGGGTTGAGTGTTTTCCGGGGAGTATGATTCATCGTTGCTTTCCTGAGTCACTTTCATGAATTAGGCAGATACCGGCAAATTGGTTGGACTACAACACTATGCGCACTCACACGACGTACACACCTCTGCCTACAGCAGTAGCATCTGTAATAGCGCTGCCCTCTCTTGCCCATCGGGGCGAACAACATGCCAGTCAGTCAACCAGCCAAGCAGGCAAGCGATTGACCGACAGACCGCCAACAGGCAGCAGACCATCGTCTTTGTCGTTGGGTTGGCCATTGCTAACGCTATTGCGCTGCCGCAGTCAGACTTTTGCTTTGCCATTACCCGCCATAACGTTTCTGTCTCCTGGAACTTCCCAACTACTTCTACGAATCATACCCCTCCCGGTCTACCCTCACCCTCAGCTTTCCCAGCAAGCAGTTCGGCCTGTGATTGGGCGCTGGAGTCTGACGTCACAGCCGCAGCCAATCAGCACGCTGCTTTGTGATGTCATTTCCACGACGTCAGCGCTAACGCTTACAGGGTTTAAAAGGATAGTTGGCAGCCGGTGGTGAGTCATACGTACTGAAAAGCGACAGTGACCGAACGAGACGAAGGAGTGCAGCGATTCGAATATCCAACTTTATACTGTCCGCTGCGCCAGCTTTCGCGGAGCAACAACAGACCCCCCCCACATAGAGCGGTTCCAGTGTGTGTACTATTGCGGTATTGTAACAAATAATTTGTTATATTGTGAGTAATAGTTGTACATTGTGAATTTTCATTGGAGTACAGTTGTTGATTTCATACGACTACCTATCAATTAAACATGATGAGTGACTGTCAAGAAATCCGCTCGAAACGGCCGATGACTCTCGATCTTGAATCTGGAAGTAACACCCGTGCCAAACGACTTAAAAACCAACTGGCAGCGCCTGTGATATCATCGCCTGATTTGCACCGTCTTGCTCTAGCCTCGCCTGATGTTGAAAAATTTATTAAGGGCAGTCTTCAGGTGAATTCATCTGCGCAGCCTACACCGGTATCAGCCTACATCTTTCCCTCAAAGGACCCAACGGTTCAGCAGAAGCAATTTGTAAAAGGTTTCGAGGACGCTTTAGAGCAGTGTAAACGACGGGGCAGTCTTAACCCCGTATCGTGTGAACCGCCTCCCATGTCGTCATGTGCTACAACAACATTGACTACACTTACCACAGCCAACTTGGAATCACTCAATGTCCAGTTGGTAACCGTGGCCTCATCGCAGTCATCAACACAGTCGTCTGCCGAAACCCATAGTTCCGACACATCAGATTCGATGTCGATGTCAATGCCAATGGCAACAGTCAAAGATGAACAAACAGTTCCAAATGGGGTCGACCCAATCGACATGCGTGACCAGGAAAAGCTTAAACTTGACCGAAAACGACTTCGTAATCGAATCGCCGCCTCGAAATGCCGCAAAAAAAAGCTGGAACGGATTTCACAGCTGGAAGCTCAAGTGAGGAAGCTAAATGACGAAAATCTCGAATATGAGAAAATGATAAACATGTTGCGTCATGAGATAAGTACGCTCCGGCAAGAGGCAATCATGCATCAGCAAAGTGGATGTCACATTAAACTTTGAACAAACGTTCATTATGGCAAGCGCTTAAAGGAAAAGTTTTTACTTATTTATACATAACTTATATACATTAAAAGCTTTCGCTATCGTCTGCTACTAAAGCACGCATCAAATACAGATATAGACGATTGCTTTAAGTCGTTTCCAATGGTGGTAGAACTGGTATCTTTCAGATGCGAGTTAAAAGCGAACGCCAGAGTCAAGTTAGCTGTGTTAGGAAGAGCATAAAGAATGACCGTCATTTGAGAAGTTGTACATACCTAATATATGAAGTGTTAACAGTCGTCATGGGTGTGATCATATACAATGGAAAAAAAATAACTGAAAGACAAAGGCAACCGATTAGAGGCACTAGAAGCAAGCATATATTGAACCATATGAGGAGTCAGCTGATAACAAGACTTGGGCATTCTATAATATATGTACGTCTAGAACTACGATTGATGATGATGGTAGTGGAAAGGGATCGCACTGGTCAACAGCAATAGCAACTGCCGGCCATAACACGGGAATAGAAGAACGCAGTCAGCCGAGCAACGCGTACTGGTCTTTACATGTGTGAATTCGTTAATACATGTTGGTGGTCTGCCAGCTTTGCCCCGAAGCATTAGCAATAACAACAACAATTAGCGGATCTCTCGGCTGTTGGCAGCAGCAGCAGCTGTTGTTGTGATGAGCCACGTTGAATCGACGTAAACTCCGCTGACAAAAAACAAAATGTACGCGCAGCTGTCACAGTCAGCTACAGTACGATGTACTGCTTTAACAAACGAACGATGTGCGGGTCGTCTTCCAAAAAAGAAAATAGTTATGATATGGCCTACTGCATAGTGAAGTAATGTTACTAACTACGATCATGTATTCATGTTTTTATTATTACTACTCGTCGGCGGGAGAAATTACAAATGGATGACAGTAGTATTCACGCGGCCTTGCAAGCGTTAACGCCATTTCCGAAAGAAAAAAAAGGACAGAACTATGGCGAAAATATTTACGACAAGCTAAAGGCTAAAATGATGCCAATATAAATTGATGACGTGAAGGCGCGTGTAAGAAGCAACGAACAGTCAGACAAGCAAGCAACCCTGATGATCTCATCCCTTGGGGCAGTGCCTACCCAGAAACCAGACGCGAATGAAGAAGGTACGGAGAGAGAAAAGTGCCAACTGGCACAGACAGATCGAATCAAGAAGTAGAAACGGAAAACGAAAACGAAAATTACCACATAACGATCAAGATGTTATCCACCAACTCTGAAATTTCTTTCCACCGACAAAAACAGCAACAAACAACAATTGCATATAAAAAATCGCCGTGATGTAGCAGCGCAACTTTCAGTAAAGGTTGACATAATTTTGGAAAATCGTGCTTACGTGAAATCATCGAGTGTTTCTACTGGAAAATAATTAACTAATAAAATTTATCAGTGTTCACTTTTGGATGATAATTCCTGGAAAACGAGAAAGGCCACCAAAGCAAAAGCCAAAATTTAAAAGTGTGGGTGTTACTATGCAGTGCTCGAATGAGTAGATAGATGCGCATTTTAAGATTAAAGTAGGTGGGCAAACGGAGAAACGTATTACACAACATGAAGCTAACTGCATATATATACATGCAATTAGAAGGAGCAGACTGATCATAGCTCCACACTTTATGGTACTTTTCTCCATTTGGCCGTCTGCCTTTACGCTACATGTATATATATACAAGTCTGTAGACAACTCATGATAAGTTCTGCGGCGTACTGCTGGCGATGTCGCGATCAGCTGAGGGCGTTGTTCTATTGTTCTAACAACAGCCGGGTAAACCGGTGTGTGCCTTTGTTACGTTTATGAGATGGAAATATACATAGAAGCTAGGAGAACGCAAGCGAACGCGCTAAAAATGAGAACGTTGAATGAAGAATGACACAAAAAAGTCGGTGACTTTACGATTTAATATAGTGGATATATTTGTACACTGCACATAAATGCGTGAGAGGATAATAAAGTTATTGATTTAGAGAAGTCTATTAAAGCTACAATAATATGACATGTAGGAAGGAAAAGCAAAGTGATGAAAAGGGCTGATGAATGTAAGGCACGTATGTACATATATTCATGTTGCCCGTCAGTGCGCCTATACATTATATATAGATATATACATGCATGTATGATTTACGACTTGCGCATTGACGTACATTGAAAGAGTATATATATATATATATATATATATATATACATATGAAAGATCAGAGCCTAAGTGGCAATATACAGGGACTATATATATATA